TGATGGAGGAAATACATGGCAGTTTACTAGGTAGAAGCAGGATAGGCTTCTTTAAAGAGAACGGTTTTCAAGGATCATCTAAAGGTGGATAGATTAGGAGACAGCCGGACAGATTGGGGGAGTTCCATAGGATGGGAGAAGCTCGGGAGCAGACCTGGAGGTGAGCATGGGAGGAGGTGACATGAGAACTAGAGAGCAGAAGGTCTTGGGAGGTTCGAAGAGAGTGGTTTGGTTGGTATTTTGAGACCAGGTTGGTGATGTAGTTGGGGGCAGAGTTGTGGATGGCTTTGTAAGTTGTTAGTACTTTGAATTTGATTTGTTGAGTGAGTGGAAGCCAGTGGAGGGATTAGGAGACACTGAACGGTTGGTAAGGTGGATGAGTCTGGCAGCAGCATTCACGATGGACTGGAGGGGAGATAGCCTATGTAAAGGTAAGCCAATGAGGAGGGAGTTGCAGTAGTCGAGGCGAGAGATAACCAGGGAGTTTGGAGCTTTGTGGTATCATTGGTTTCACCATTATTCTTATTGGACTGTCACTGGAAGGACTTTTTGCCATATTATTGCACGTGGCACTTTAATGAGCACTATTTGTATAATAATATTGACTTACAATAATTTATTGATTGATTTTAATGGTCACATATTTACATATATATATATGTCATGTGCTGCACTGTTTTAATATATTTAATATAAGTATAAACCTGTTTATTTATTTTTTTAAAATGCTTTTTACAATCACTTTAAGGTCAGTGAACATTCACTTTGGTCAAATGTAAAACTGCCCTCCACCTAATTAAAATCTATGTGAGCAATCATGATTTCTTAATTGCTTACACGGATAAGTGCTTACACGGCTGCTGGCTAGTAATTCTAGTCCAGCAATAAACTCCCTTTCATAGATTTACACAATAATGCTCTATTTTGAGTCCAATCCAGTTTCCTATTTTAACTGAAGCCCTGATAAATGGGGGGTGTTTGACTCCTGATACGCAATGGACTTTTTTTTCTGAACAAACCAATAAATGAGTTTGGGCTCTTTTATCATTTGGTCTGATGCTCCTGCCATTGGTGCAGTTTTTTTTCTGGGAACCTGCTGACTTCCTGCAGGAGGGTAGCCCTGTCTCTTGTGAGTAACCTGAGCAGTGAGCTCTCCAAATGTGTTTGTCCTCTCACTACTTTGTATGAAATTTACAGCACCTCCTGGATGTTTTTTTTTCCTTCATAGGAGCTATAAAAACCTGACAGGGGTTATAACCTTTCAAAAAAAAAAACCTAGGAAAAAAATATGCCTTTACCTACACTTTAGGTATAAAACCTCTAATACTTTAGTAAATCAACATCCCTGAGTGGTTGTTTAGGTAGGCCCTGCACTACAAAGTTTTTTAAGTCTAGAGGAGATTATATAATCGATTGTAATATATATGCCAAGATTTAAATTTTTTTGGGATCCACAGGCTTTAGTGCACATGGCTTAGAGATTAGTTAAAGTGACAGCTGCTGACAGGTACAAACAGAAAAAAATGGATCAGTGGATACTATGGGCTTGATTTACTAAAGGCAAATAGACTGTTTATGCAGCAAGATCATTTGCAAGGGAATTTTTCTATTGCTTAGCACAATATAACTAGATACTAACATTTATAGGTAAAGTATCCGATTGCCTCTCGGGGGATCAGGAAATAATTTTTTCCCTGCAGGAGCAAATTGGATCATGCATTGCTGGGTTTTTTTTTGCCTTCTTCTGGATCAACTGTGGGTATAGGATTATAACTTTTTTTTTTATTGGTTGAACTGGATGGACTTTTGTCTTTTTTTCAGCCAGACTATGTAACTATGTGGTGAAAATTTACTTTGCAAAGCATATCCAACTAGAAAAGCTACAATTTCTGGGGAAATTGTGTGAAGTGTTCTTGCCTCCACCAGTAGTCTAGGGCTTGAAAATGAGGGAGTGGTGGCAGTTTAGAAATCATGTCCTTATTTTTCAGCTCACACTCTAGCTTTTGTCACTCTGCTGCCTGCTTACACACCTGGGTTCCTATGGCAACACACTCTACAGCAAAGGCAGAGAAGAATGGTTAAAAACAAACTACTCCAACTTGCTCACTTCACTAGTGGTTGCCATCTTCAAACGGTTGTAGTTTAAAAATTGTAAATCCTACACTGAAGAGCTTTATATTGTGAGAATCACAAGACCCAGACCTACATTGTGATGCATAGTATGTCTCTGAAATATTAAAAATGAAGGCACAGTCGCAGTTGAGAAATTGCCCTTCAAATCTGAGGTGGCTAGAGTGGAGTTTCAATAAATGTCAATGGGCGGCGTGAGTTGCAAACAAATGGTTATATTGTGAAAACTATCAGGACTATGGCTTAGCCGTGGACATTTTTAGTGGCAACAGGGATAGCTGAACATTTTGATATAAGATTTGTGTAGGTGGGCTTGAAAATGAGGGAGTGATGGCAGTTTAGAAATCATGTCCTGATTCTTCAGCTCACACTCTAGCTTTTGTTAGCTCCCACTCTAGTTTTGAACATTCCGCCATTCATTCCTATGGGACCAATTTCACCACAAAAACGCCGATATTTCGTGAACCATTCGGCGAAACGTTCCACAAAGTAATAGCACACCAATCGGGAACAATCCACACGTTTCGGTATATTGCTGTCTATGTAGTGGAAAAAACTGTGGGAGGGAGTTGGGGTGGTACATTTGGCTATAAGAATAAGAATAAATATGTGAGATAACAGTAAGTGGTCTTGCCATGGAAGAACACTTAATTAAGTGTTAATTAGGATTTATAGTTTTTAAACTACAACCATTTGAAGATGGCAACCGCCAGTGAAGTGAGCAAGTTGGAGCAGTTTGTTTTAAAATGCTCTTCTCTGCCCTTGCTGTAGAGTGAGTTGCCATAGGAACCCAGATGTGTGAGCAGCCAGCAGAGTGACGAAAGCTAGAGTGTGAGTTGTAGACTACTGGTGGAGGCAAGAACACTTCACACAATTTCCCCAGAAATTTTAGATTTTCTAGGTGGTCTTGCCATGCAAGAACATTTAATTAAGTGCAAGGAAAATAAAAATGTAAAAAACAGTATTTTTGCTTGCACGTGATTGGATGGTGTAAGTTTGCTCAGCTTCCCCACATTCACTAAGCTAAGGGGTAAGTTCTTGTAAAGTGCAAATTCCCTTGCAAAGTGAACAACGTATCTGCCTTTAATAAATCAACCTTGGTTTGCCTTCTTATCTTCTATGTGACCACTTTTATATTTTGAATAAATTATTGCAGTATATGGACAGTGTGCTGTCTATTTCTTGGAAATGAGCTGTAATGCGGTGTTACCGTAAACCAAACACTCCAGCATTGGGTGTATGAACATGGTACTGGATGCTAATGATGGCTTTCTAGGTATTGGGAGAAGACACCTACAAGTGCCTGCACACACCTACAGCAGTATTTAGTACCTCTACCCTGCTTTAAAGGTCAGTTTGAGATCACTTTGTACATCTCTTCATCTAGCTACATAATAAAGGAAGTCTTGCATTAACCAAGAGCAGGTAGTCCTAATCTTTTTCTCGGTGCTGCCCTCTGCTTTTTCTTTTATTTTTTGTGTTCATTCAATAGAAAGAAGCTGCAGTGGTCCACTGTAATAGTCTACTGAGCAAAAATCATAAAAAAGCAATCAAAATGCTAGCTTTAATTCTATGTCATCTCTTCAATCTCAGCCATCATTCAAAATTCACTGCACCGATTTTGCTCCTTGTACGGACTTAGTGAATAAACTAAATGTGCTTTCTTAGCTTTAACAGCCTGAAAACTGACCCATAATCTATATATAATCTGTGAAGGCTTCTATGGAAAGCACAGCCTCATGAAAAATTAAACATACATCCATAAACAACGCAAGAAGCAAATCCCAAAGTGACTGCAAAATCTATAGTAATTGAGGGCTTCCCATTGGTTGTTACCCACTCTGCACTGTGCTCTTTGCTCCATTTTATTGGATTAGTCTGGCAATCATGTTTTTCTGCGAAGGAAACATCCAGAAGAATGGAGAATATGAAGAATCCAATAATACTTATGTTGCTACAGGAAAGGGTACCTGCAATCTACAGCAATTCCATTTTCCAAATAATGAGCATTGCAGTCTGCAGAATCCTCCTGTAGAATCTGAGATCATCAATAAATCTTTTCCCATAGACTTCCAAGTAATGTGACATGACAGCAGCATGAAGGTCCAACTATTGCTTTAAACTTGGCTGTGAGGACAAAGGGAACAGACTGCTCTAGGTTTGTTTCATTTTTACTGGAAAACCCGATAACGGTCAGTTCACATGTGCCTGTTACAGCATATGTTGTACCTGGTTCCTGATACATTGAACATTGTTGAACAACATGCATTGTTGCTTGTGCCCATCTATTTCCTCTGGATCCTTAAAGAGCATCTACACACTGAAAAATGCTGCGGACCTTTATTTTCCCAATGCAATGCAGGTGTTCACTGGCGTATGTGTTGTGGTGCATTCAGGGTTATGTGCATTTTTTAGTGTGTGGAGACACAACAGGGGCTCTTTAGGAATTAACTGATGTACCTCTAAAATGCATGCACAAGCTGCCTACTAAGTAACACCACAAAAATGTGGCTAAATGGTTATCACTTCTGCCTGGCAGTATTAGAGTCATTGGTTCAAATCCCAACCACGGCACCACCTGCCTGGAGTTTGCATGTTCTCCCTGTGCCTGCGTGGGTTTCCTCCGGGTACTCCAGTTTCCTCCCACACTCCAAAGACATGCTGGTAGGTTAATTGAATCCTGTCTAAATTGGCCCTAGTACATGTAACTATGAATGTGAGTTAGGTACCTTAGATTGTACACCCCTTGAGGGTTAGGGACTGATGTGAATGTACAATATATATGTATATATACACACATGTAAAGTGCTGCATAAATTGACAGTTCTATATAAGTACCAGAAATAAATAATAGAGCCAGTCTTATTTACCTCTTTCAAACTGTAATTTCTTATATTGTTGCATTATTTCAGCAGCCACCATGCATTCAATCTGTAAAAATAAATAAGAAACTTTACTTTTAAAAGGAAATTCTCATAAATAGTATTCAGATTTCCTAGTCGTACAGCATTCAAGTTTAATATATTCCAAGACTGCATTTATTAAAGTGTTACTAAAGCCACAACAGTAAAATCAGCCTGTATATGCAGTAAAGTATGCTTATTATACTCACTGTGGAACCTACAGGGTTAATCCTCTGCATTGTGTAAAAAGGCTGTTTGATCCTTTCTTCTCTGTTCCTCACTTTTTCAAGCGGCCACCTCTTATCCCCAGACTGAACCGTAGGCATGCACATGCTCAGTTTAGTGTGTATTGCTAGAAAAGTTTTTTTTTTTTTTTTCTTGGGAGAGTGCATGTGATCAGCACAGGGCCAATCAGCACTGTCCAGACAGAGGTCAGGGGATTTGCATCCTCTTAGAGCAGAAAGAAAACTCCTCCTACAAGCTTTAGCTAGTGCTGGGCTGCACACTGATAGAAGTCACAAGACTGCTCTAACTGTTGATGTGAAAAGGTGTTTAGCAGTTTATATTTACTAAATTAATTGCACTTCTATGTTCTGTGTACTGTGGGAGACCAGATATAGTGGATGCAGGGACGGGGTTTAGTAATACTTTAAGGGCCAGTTATGCAAGTCTCAAATAAATCCTCCAAGAATCAATGTGCACATAATGTTTGTCCCCATTCAAATGAATGCTGTAGATTTTAAATAAAATGATTATTTTATTGTATCACTCCTCATTAAAACCTCAGATATTTCTGTTTCTATGGGGGGAGGTACAGTCAGCACAGCTGCAGACTCAACCCAACCCTGCAGTTATACAGGGCAGAAACAGTGGAAATTGTCAGCCTGTGTTGTCGTGAATGATTGCAGCAGAAGAAGAGCAATATCATTCACAAAAATAAAAGCTGACAACCGCACAAGCCAGTTAATACATTTGTCCGAGAGAGACTAGTGCAGTAGCTCAGGTGTGCTGCTGGCAGCTTGTGTTTTTGTGAATGATAGCGCCCTTCTCTTACTGCAATCACTCATGACAACAACAGGCTGACCATTTTCACTCTCTCTGCCCTATATAGGTGCAGGGTTGGGCTGAGTATGTACTACGAAACACTGGGAGAGATGAAGAGACACAGTGCTGCAGAAAGTTAGAGGGGGCGGGGCTCAGCCAGCACTGACAGTAAAAAAATAATCATTTTATTTAAAATCTACAGGAGGCAGAGAGCTTCAAAGCACAGCCACACATTCCATCTGGCAGCTTGGGAGGGGGTGGGGGTAGTAGTTGTGCGGGCGCTGTGTGCACTGCCTATCACTCCCCCTCCCCTTGGTGCTGCTACTCTGAGCTCCGCCTCTGTTGTCTGGTGCTGTCAAATAGCAGGGACGGGAAGAGGGGCCAGCTACAGTATCTGATATTACTGCTCAGCAACTTCTGCACAGACCTTAATGAGGACAAGTGCTACGTGTACAGAGTCCCCTGGGGATTTAACAAGATTTTTTGTCTTCTGGCAAAACTTTTTTAAATATTTTCTCCCCCAATTCCCCAGAAGCTCTGATTTTGCAAGCTGCAGCAGCACATAAAAGGAACAAAACTAAACTCTATACAGGAAGTTAGTCCTAACCTCTCACACCCTTTCTGCTACTTGGTTAAAGTGTCACTAAACCCAGGACCCTGCATTCACTATACCTGGTCTCCCACAGTACACAAAACATGGAAGTGCAATTATTTTAGTAAATATAAACTGCTAAATACTTTTTCTCATCAGCAGTTAGAGAAGTCTTGTGACATCTATCAGTGTTCAACAGAGCACTGGTTAAAGCTTTTAGGAAGAGTTTTAATTCTGCTCTAGGAGGATACAAAACCCCTGACCTCTGTGTGCACAGTGTTGATTGGCCCTGTGCTGATCACATGCACTCTCCAAAGAAAAAAAAACTCTCTAGCAATGCACACTAAACTGAGCATGTGCAAAATGGCTACAATTCAGTCTGTCTTATCAGGAAATAAGATGTAGACATTTGAACAAGAGGAGGAGCAGAGAAGTCAGGATCAAACAAACAGACTTTTTACACAATGAAGAGGATTAACCCCTTAGGTTCCAAAGTGATTATAACAAGCATGCTTTACTGCATATACAGACTGATTTTACTGTTGTCGGTTTAGTAACACTTTAAGAATAGTATTGACACTACAAATATGCACAGTTATCACCAAGATCATGGTTACTCTGTTTAAAAATAAAATCCAATTCCCTCACCTAGCCAATTATCCTTTATACTATATGCTTATCACTACTGATTAACAAGACTGTAGTTTTCTGGATTGATAGCCCTGCGTCTGCTGCTGAAATCCTCCCACTGGGAGCTGCAGTGTCTGAGGGGGGAGTGTACTAGGCACCAAAAAAAAAGGGGAGATAAAGAAATTTTGTACTTTTTGAGGATTCTGCATCACATAGTAAATGGATTTAGAACCTGTTTAGACTGTCATACAGAAGGATTCAGGTGTAAATAAAAGTGAACCTAGTTGTATTAACCCCCTCCCCTTTTATACTTTTTTAAATTCGTTTCCCCATAGATCTGCCAGATAAGTAAAATACTTGGCACTTTCTGCGTAAAGAAGTATGTGTCTCTCTTCCTCTACTTCCACAATGCAGCACAGTGTGCTTGGGTGGCCAACTGCCAGACCTGAGTGACGTTACATGAAGGTGGGGGGTTCTTTGCTCTGTGTAAGCTAAAGAGAAGTGTGTAGGTAGGTGCAGTCTACATTCTCCACTACAGGTGGTGCTCGTCCAGAATAACAAGGCATCTGGAGGAGGAAGTCAAGAGAACCTGCGTTTCCAGTTGGCTAAGTTGGATCCAGGTGACTTTGGTGGCCATCTTGGGTCAGGTAGAATGTTTTTAAGTCCCTGCCCTAGGGATTTGGTTAGTGTAGGGACAGAGCACCCGGCTGTCAGTAGTGAAAGTGTAGGACCTTCATCTGCATCTCAGAAAGCTCCCCTTTGGGTTGGACCAGCCAGGCCGCACTCCGCTCTCCAAGTGACCCTATGAAGTTTCACTTAGAGAGAGATAGTATGAAGGAAAAACAGGTTCTGGAAGCTTCTCAGCTGTTTCTTGATAATACCCATAATGATGTGCAACATCAGCATCATGGGTGCACCCTTTAGTGAAATAGTAAAGCATACATGCATTGGGTTAATAACTTTAATAACTCATAAATTATTCAAAAACACTGATTCAAAACCATTATAGTTTCCCTTTAACTGGAGTCATACTTGCCTCATTTTCTTGCAAATGACCTCTCTTTGGGCAACTGGCATCAGGGCAACTAATTGCAGTTTCTAAACCTTCTTTGATCAGAAGTTCCACATACTGTTTTAAACACTGTTAAGAGATAGAGAAGAATAAACTTTATTTTATATATTCATAGTTGTACGTACATTTTGGATTAAATCAAAAATGTGTAAAAAGAAGGGAGAGAAAAAAAAATTATCCAGTATGCTAAAAAAAAACATTTTAAGTAGATTCCTCAAAAGCTAATGCAAAATTCCCTTTTTTTATGTTACTGTTTTACTGCTAAGTAGCAATATAATAAATTACAGCAGCTTGCAGCAAGTGCATTTAACCAACAGTTAGGTGCACATATATTTGGACACAGGCTCAATTTTAGTTTTTTTCAGTATTTACCAACATATATTTCAGCTATAGTTATATAATGGATTTAGGCTGACAATGCACACTCTCAGGTTTAATTTGAGGATATGTACAGTACATCCAAATTGGAGGAAGGGTTTAGGAATTACTGCTCTTAAGAGTAGCCACCCCCCTTTTTTCAAGGGACCAAAAGTAATTGGACAAGTGAATCCAAAGCTGTTTCATGGCCAGGTGTGGGCTACTCATTTGTTATTTCTTCATAAATTAAGCAGGTAAAAGGGTCTGGAGTTGATTCTACCGTATCTCACAGAAGTGAGTACACCCCTAACAGTTTAGTAAATATTTTATTATATCTTTTCATGTGACAACACTGAAGAAATGACACTTTGCTACAATGTGACGTAGTGAGTATACAGCTTGTATAACAGTGTAAATTTGCTGTCCCCTCAAAATAACTCAACACACAGCCATTAATATCTAAACCTCTGGCAATAAAAGTGAGTACAGCCCTAAGTGAAAATGTCCAAATTGGGCCCAATTAGCCATTTTCCCTCCCCGGTGTCATGTGACTTGTTAGTGTTACAAGGTCTCAGGTGTGAATGGGGAGCAGGTGTGTTAAATTTGGTGTTATCGCTCTCACTCTCTCATACTGGTCACTGGAAGTTCAACAAGGCACCTCATGGCAAAGAACTCTCTGAGGAACTGAAAATAAGAATTGCTGCTGTACATAAAGGTGGCCTAGGCTATAAGAAGATTTCCAAGACCTTGAAACTGAGCTGCAGCGTGGTGGCCAAGACCATACAGCGGTTTTTTTAACGGGACAGGTCCCACTCAGAACAGGCCTCGTCATGGTCGACCAATAATGCTTAGTGCATGTGCTCAGTGTCATATCCAGAGGATGTCTTTGGGAAATAGACGTATGAGTACTGCCAGCATTGCTTAAGGGGTGGGGGGTCAGCCTGTCAGTGCTCAGACCATACCCCGCACACTGCATCAAATTGGTCTGCATGGCTGTCGTCCCAGAAGGAAGCCTCTTCTAAAGATAATGCACAAGTAAGCCCGCAAACAGTTTGCTGAAGACAAGCAGACTAAGGACATGGATTACTGGAACCATGTCTTGTGATCTGAGGAGATCAAGATAAACTTATTTGGTTCCGATGTTGTCAAGCATGTGTGGCGGCAACCAGGTGAGGAGTACAAATACAAGTGTGTCTTGCCTACAGTCAAGCATGGTGTTGGGAGTGGCATGGTCTTGGGCTGCATGAGTGCTGCTGGCACTGGGGAGCTACAGTTCATTGAGGGAACCATGAACGCCAACATGTACTGTGACATACTGAAGCAAAGCATGATCCCCCCCTTCGGAGACTGGGCCACAGGGCAGTATTCCAACATGATAACGACACCCAAAACACACCTCCAAGACGACACTGCCTTGCTAAAGAAGCTGAGGGTAAAGATGAAGGACTGGCCAAGCATGTCTCCAGACCTAAACCCTATTGAGCATCTGTGGGGCATCTTCAAATGGAAGGTGGAGGATCGCAAGGTCTCTAACATCCACCAGCTCTGTGATGTCAACATGGAGGAGTGGAAGTGGACTCCAGTGGCAACCTGTGAAGCTGTGGTGAACTATATGCCAAAGAGGGTTAAGGCAGTTCTGGAAAATAATGGTGGCCACTAGAGATGAGCGAATTATTCAAAAATTTGATTCGGCTGATTCGCCGAATTTGCGGGATAAATTCGATTTGATGCGAATTTATTCGCCGCAAATTTAACTTATTTAAAGGGTTTCTAGGCTTCAGAGAGCCTTTATATTAGTGCAGAACACTGTACCTTTAATTTAAATGCCCTTGGAGTGTGCTGGGGAAGAGAAATAATACTGTCAGTCAGTATGACATGCAGATGAGTGCCGTCGATCTTAGAATCACCGCACACTTCACTCATTTGGGCAGTCACGGGGCATGACGAAGAAGAAGAAGAAGAAGAAGAAGAAGAAGAAGAAGAAGAAGAATGAAAAGAAGAATGAAAAAGAAGAAGAAGAGGAATGAAAAGAAGAAGAAGAAGAATGAAAAGAAGAAGAATGAAAAGAAGAATGAAAAAGAAGAAGAAGAAGAATGAAAAGAAGAAGAAGAAGAATGAAAAGAAGAATGAAAAGAAGAAGAAGAAGAATGAAAAGAAGAATGAAAATAAGAAGAAGAGGAATGAAAAGAAGAAGAAGAAGAATGAAAAGAAGAAGAATGAAAAGAAGAATGAAAAGAAGAAGAAGAATGAAAAGAAGAAGAAGAAGAATGAAAAGAAGAATGAAAAGAAGAAGAAGAAGAATGAAAAGAAGAAGAAGAAGAATGAAAAGAAGAAGAAGAATGAAAAGAAGAAGAAGAAGAAGAATGAAAAGAAGAAGAAGAAGAATGAAAAGAAGAAGAAGAAGAAGAATGAAAAGAAGAATGAAAAGAATAAGAATGAAAAGAAGAAGAATGAAAAGAAATGAAGAAGAATGAAAAGAAGAATGAAAAGAAGAAGAATGAAAAGAAGAAGAATGAAAAGAAGAAGAAGAATGAAAAAAAAGAAGAATGAGAAGAAGAATGAAAAGAAGAATTAAAAGAAGAATGAGAAAAAATGAAAAGAAGAATGAAAAGAAGAAGAAGAAGAATGAAAAGAAGAAGAAGAAGAATGAAAAGAAGAAGAAGAATGAAAAGAAGAATGAAAAGAAGAAGAAGAAGAATGAAAAGAAGAAGAAGAAGAATGAAAAGAAGAATGAAAAGAAGAAGAAGAATGAAAAGAAGAAGAAGAAGAATGAAAAAAAAGAGGGAAGAATGAAAAGAAGAATAAAAAGAAGAAGAAGAAGAATGAAAAGAAGAATTAAAAGAAGAATGAGAAGAATGAAAAGAAGAATGAAAAGAAGAAGAAGAAGAATGAAAAGAAGAAGAAGAAGAATGAAAAGAGAAGAAGAATAAAAAGAAGAATGAAAAAGAAGAAGAAGAAGAAGAAGAATGAAAAGAAGAATGAAAAAGAAGAATGAAAAAGAAGAAGAAGAAAATGAAAAGAAGAAGAAGAATGAAAAGAAGAAGAAGAAGAATGAAAAGAAGAATGAAAAGAAGAAGAAGAAGAAGAATGAAAAGAAGAGAAGAAGAATGAAAAGAAGAATGAAAAGAAGAAGAAGAAGAAGAATGAAAAAAGAAGAATTCCAGTACAGCAAAAAGTGTATCTGCAGAGAGCTCCGCTATTTCTGACAGTTCTCTCTGACAGTTCTGACAGTTCATTTACAGCGGTTGAAACATTGTATCTATTTATTTCCGAATAAAAACATCTGTATCCTAAATGGAAACAAATAGATACAATGTTTCAACCGCTGTAAATGAACTGTCAGAACTGTCAGAGAACTGTCAGAAATAGCGGAGCTCTCTGCAGTGACACTTTTGCCGGCTGATGGGGAAAATTCGATTCGTGCATCCGAAGTTTGCTAAAATTCGGATTCGATGCGAATCGAATTTTTCCTAATATTCGAAACGAATTCCACTTCGCCAAGTTCGATTCGCTCATCTCTAGTGGCCACACAAAATATTGACACTTTGGGCCAAATTTGGACATTTTTACTTAGGGGTGTACTCACTTTTGTTGCCAGCGGTTTAGACATTAATGGCTGTGTGTTGAGTTATTTTGAAGGGAAAGCAAATTTACACTGTTATACAAGCTGTACACTCGCTACTTTACATTGTAGCAAAGTGTCATTTCTTCAGTGTTGTCACATGAAAAGATATAATAAATTATTTACAAAAATATTTACACTTCTGTGAGATACTGTAAGTGTGGTATTTGCATTTGAAATCTACTGCTGTGAACCTACATCACGTGTTCAAAGGAGCTGTCCAAGCAAGCAAAACAGGCCATTGTAAGGCTTAAAAAATGAAAAAAAAATCCATCCAGAGGGTTCACCACAAAGTGCAAACCATTCATAAGCCTGAAGAGTAGAAAAGCCAGATTAGACTTTGCCAAAAAACATCTAAAAAGCCAGACCAGTTCTGGAAAAGCATTCTTTGGACGGATGAAACTAAGATTAATTTGTACCAGAATGACGGGAAGAAAAAAGTTTGGAGAAGGCATAGAACAGCTCATGATCCAAAGCACACAACGTCATCTGTAACACATGGTGGAGGCAGTGTGATGGCATGGGCATGCATGGCTTCCAGTGGCACTGGGTCATTGGTGTTTATTGATGTGACAGAAGACAGAAGCAGCTGGATGAATTCTGCAGTGTTTAGAGATATACTGTCAGCCCAGATTCAGCCAAGTGCAGCAAAGTTGATTGGACGGCGCTTCACAGTACAAATGAACAATGACCCAAAACACACTGCAAAAGCAACCCAGAAGCTTTTGAAGGGAAAGAAGTGGAATATTCTGCAATGGCCGAGTCAATCACCCGATTTCAACCCAATTGTGCATGCATTTCACTTGCTGAAGGCAAAACTAAAGGCAGAAAGATCCACAAACAAAGAACAACTGAAAACAGCTGCAGTTAGAGCCTGACAAAGCATCAGAAAGGAGGAAACCCAGTCTTTGATAATGTCCATGGGTTCCAGACTTCCGGCAGTCGTTGCCAGTAAAGGATTCTCAAAAAATATTAAAAATGAACATTTTATTTATGATTATATTAGTTTGTCCAATTACATCTGAGCCCTTGAAAATGGAGGGACTGTGTATAAAAATAGCTGCAGTTCCTAAAGTTTGTACTTGATATTTAT